AAAAGATGGTGTATGCTGTTAAACAAGCCAAACAGCCTTCAAGATACGACTGGCCCCCAAGCTTTTCTGCTTCTGCATAAAGGTTATTTAGAGTTTGAACGGTTTCTTCAAACTGTTGCCTATCAATCCAGTTCTCCAGCTCCGCGGGGAATTTGGTCTGGAACTGGCAGCGTGTCCCGCTGCTGTAGTCTCGCTGAATGAAGACCTTCCCCGACACCGGCGGCTGCTGCGGCCTCATGGCAAGGACAGGATGGGCCTCCACTGTCCTCCAGCCGCTGTCGTGCTGCCTTTTACGTCACTTACGTCCGGTCCCTGCATAGAGTTTTTAAGGCTGTGACCTTTTGGAAGAAGATGACCAGAGCTGTCTACTGAGGTGCTCCCAAGTAAGTTCAAATCACCAACCTTCTGACTAGCAGTCAGGTGCTTAATTATTCCGACCACCCAAGGATTCGGTAGTTAAGTAATCGCTGCTAAAATTTCAACAATGTGGGTAGAACTGTTCCCACGGAGGGAACTCTGAGTCAGACATTATAAAGAAAAACCCTGAAAATTAAGCTTTTCAGTGAGCTGCCAGATGGGCCAAATACTTACTTTTCTCTGTTGACGGAGATTGTGGTTGCTAGGTTACCAGTGCTCACAGCTTCAGACAAGTGGGGTTATTGGCTCTTAAGATCTCTATGGAGTTGGCAAGAGGGAGATGGAATTAGGGCAATTAAAAGGCCACAAAGCTCAGTGTTCTAATGGAGACTCAGTTGTGCCAGATTAAACACTCCTCCAACTGTTGCAAGTCTTTATGTAATCCACAGAGTTCTGAAAAGTTGATTTTGATAGTTTTTCCAGTCATTGCTTTCATGGGAGAGAAGATTTTTGGAGGATCTATCCTGATAGAGTCCTAGTATGGCGCTGTGGGTTAATGCGCCAGACTGCAAAGCTGTTTGAACTGCAAGGTTGGTGGTTTAAACTCACCAGTCACACTTTGGAAACCCTATACAGGGTCGCTATGGGGCGGAACCGACCCGACGGCACTTAACAACAACAAGAACATCCTGATGTGGCTCTATAGGATTAGCACTGGACTGCTAACCACAAGGTTGGCAGTTCAAACCCACCAGATGCTCCTTGGAAACCCAGTACAGGATTGCTATGAGTCAGAACTGACTTGGAAGCACTTAGCAACAACTCTGTTAGAAGTCCCTCTGTGGGGCAGATACTCAGAATGTTTGTTTGTTAAGTGTAATGCTGGAAGTTGGGCGCACCTAGAGGCACCTCAGAAAAAAGCAATCTACTGCTGAAAAATCAACCACTGAGAAGACTGTGGCGCACCATTCTACTGTGACACACACACATGACTGTGAGTTGGAATCAACTCTTTCATACTCTGACATTCTGAAAGTGAGATCTTCCCCTTGAATCATACATACGTTTTGAATGCTATAGAAACCAGACTCAGCTTCCCACTTAATCTGTAAGTATTATAAGGAACTAGAACTGGACATGGTTTCTGGTCTTGAGAAACTCACTTTCTAGGGCAATGGGCTGGAGCCCAGCTGAACTCCCTTGGACTTGGAGGCAGAGTGTAGGGTGCAGATGCTGATTAAGGGAGGCTTTCAGTTGGGTTCTGACTTAAGAAGTCCTTAAATCCAGCCATACATCAGAACCTCACTCCGACGTCCACAATGCTGGGGAGCCACATGGGTCCAGAAGTCTTTTGAGCTAGTGGCGGGATAAGGTTGTTAAATGTGGGTGGGATTTCAATAGATTTCAGGAGAATGACACCCCAGACAGGTCAAGGGCAGGGAAGAATCTGAGAGAGTTCAGACTGAACCATTTACATTTGTATGAAGGCAGTTGTTAGCTGCTGTCAGGTGGCCTCTTGGACCTAGGAACAAAATGTTGCCTGGTCCCCATAATTTATTGCAGGTTGGAGCCTTGTGACGTGTAGGGATTTTACTGACTGATAATCAAATGTAGATCATCAGGCCTTTCTTTCTCATCCATCTTAGTCTGGAAGTTCCACTGAAACCTGGTCAGCAACACAACCACACATAAGCCTCCACTGACAGACAAGTGGTGTCTGTGTATGAAGCACCTTGGCTGGGAATCGAACTCACGTCTCTTGCATAGAAGGTGGAGAACTCTACCACTGTTCCCATAGGAAAGCAACATGTCATGTGAGAAAGGGCAAGCTAATTGTCTTTAAACGGTCTTCTCCATTTTATTGAACACTGGGGTCACTAAGTATTAAACTGAATCCTTCACCGTGGCATCAGACAGACACAGGACTGAATCTTGGCTCTGCCACTCTACTGACTGTGGGAGCCAGGGAAGGCGTTCGAGCCTCACCAAGCCTCTACTGCTTTGTCTGTGAAGCAGGTAGGGTAAGTCTCACGTCATGAAGATGATCTACAGATGAAAGGACATGCATCAAAGGTCTGGCACACGGTGGAGGTGTCCTAAGAGAGTTGGTTTGGGTTTTTTGTTTGTCTGTTTGTTATTATGTTTCAAATATATACTTAAAATTATATTATCCATGATTTACTTTACTCATAGAAACATGAACTGTGAGGAGATATGGAAAGCCTTCACAAATGCATTTCTTTCCAAGAACCCTTGTAAAATTGCAGAAGAAGACTATCAACCGTTAATAAAGATGGTCAAGCAAAGTTTACCTTGCAACAAGGTAAGTGGATCAGGGGATGATTTTAAAATAAAAGCCAGAAGGGTCAGGTTACAGGACTAGATTTTGATGAGGATGAAGGAAAGGGAAAACCTCAGATATTCGATTGTGGATATGGCTGGGAAGTATTGTTGTTTGTGGAGCCCTTGGGGACCAGAGTTTAGAGAGTCTGAGGAAGGGTGATGAGTGAGAAAAGGGGGGATATGGGAAGAGAACTGGGCAAAAATCAGACAACACAAACCGTACTCCAAACCTATCACAAACAAACAAAAATGCTCCAATCTTACCTAAGTCCAGAATTTATTCATTGGCATTACTCATTTAATTTCTCCATTGTCCTATGAGTTTGGAATAATTTATCATCACCATTTTACAGTTTAGGGAAGTGAGGGTTAGAGATGCTTTGGGAGTTGAAAGTAGTGATGCCAGTCTTCAATAATATGACAGTTTGCCCTCAGAGCCTGGGTGTTAAACCACTCCTGGCTTCTGTTTCTATGGAGAACTAACAGATCCATGGAGTAGAATCTGGTTCTGAAACTTGTCGTTCTGTGCTTTGAAGAGGGACCTTGAGAAAAACCACACTGTGCTTGTTCTAGTTTGTGTACGTGTGTGTCCAGGGCTGGGGCTGTGGGCTATTTAGGAGAAGGAGAGGGAGATAATGGAGCTTTTTAAGAATCCAAGAGCACTTCTCCCAGAATCCTGTTGTTTGATAAGTGCCGTCTAGTCATTTCTGACTCATAGTGACCCTGTATAGGGTTTCAGAGGATTGCTTGGTGAGTTTCAACAATCAGCCTTGTGGGCCAGTGCTCATCCTACTATAGAAGCATTTCCCCAAGTGATTTTGGGTATTTGGCAACTCCCTAATGCCTCCTCCAGATGCAGTAGGATTCCAGGTTGACTAGAAAGCTGTATTTTTATTGCAACCCAGAATTCTAAGATCATTTTATAGTGTTGTTGTTGTTGTTAAGTGCTGTCTAGCTGGTTCTTACTCATAGCGACCCTGTATAGGGATGATATGGCACTGTAGGTTAATGTGCTAGACTGCAAGGTCGGCAGTTGAAGTTCACCAGCTTCTCCTGAAAAACCCTATACAGGATCGCTATGAGTTGGAACCAACTTGATGGCACTTAACAACAACAATATAGGGCTTGTGATTTGCAGTCCAGTGCTGATCATACAGAACCACACTAGAAGTCCTGTTTTATAATATGCCCTAGAAAATGCATGCACATACACACACACACACACACACACACACTCCCTCTCTCTCTCTCCGTTTCTCTTTTACACACACATTCCCTCTCTTTTGCCCACACACAGTCCACATACACACACCATGCATACACACATTCCACACACACAAACATACAAGCGATCTTTCTCTCATCCTCTTTTTACACACATACAAAGCACACTCTACACACACAAACCAAAAGCCACAATGCACAAAACATGCTTACCCTAACTACATGTGGTTCACTGATATTTTCTCATGTCTTCCAGTTACAAACATGTAGATTTATTTTTTACATAGAAAATTGATTTAAGTAATAGGTTGTGTTTATTCTATCTTAGATCCTGTTTTGGAGCAAGACAAAGACCTTGGCCCATGACTACACAAAGGACCATAAGGATATGTTCACCCTGGAGAACACCCTGCTGGGGTACATGTTTGACAACCTCACATGGTGTGGAGACGCAGGCAAGACAGGTGAGAATCTGGGCGCTCTGGGATTGCCCGGAACCTGCTGGGTGAAGAAACTGTGGGTTCTGCTAGGGGCTCTGAAAACCAGTGTGGAGGAGGAGCTGAAGGCACCCATGGACACCTATGGTAAAACAAACAAGCCAGTTGCTGTTGAGGGGATTCGGACTCCTTATGATCCCATGTGTGTCAGTGAGTGATTTTTTTGCAAATAGATTCCCAAGCCCTTCTTCCAAAGATCTCTGGGTGGGCTTGTACCGCCAACCTTTCATAGAGCAGATGAGCTTAACTTGGCACCACCAGGAACTCTACTGACAAGTCCAGGTGCAAAGTAGCAGTCCCTAAAACAGTGCCTGGGGTTTTGACAAGTTGGCTTAGAGTTTGTGTTGACCATTGGCTCCTTTTTCTGTGTGCTTATGTAACTAGCTTCTGATTCGTGGTATTTGGGTTTCTAGAAAGGTGCCAATCAGGACCAAAGAATTCTGGGGCAGGATGATGCCTCCAAGGAATCGAGGCCAGAGTCCTTCTTTACAGAACAGCCCCAGTAGATGCGGGAGCCGGGGACTCCTCCCCTCTCAGATCAGGGGGTGAGATCCTCAAATCTCAGACCAGGGGGTGGGCTCCTCTCCTCACACCAGAAGGTGGGTTCCTCCCCTCTCTGACCAGGGGGTGGGCTCCTCCCCTCTCAGTTCAGAGGGTGGGCTCCTCCCCTCTCAGATCAGAGAGTGGGCTCCACCCATCTCAGACCTAGGGGGTTGTTGTTACGTGCCATAGAGTCGAACAGAAAGCAGAACCAAACACTGCTCGATCCTGTACCAACCTCATTATTGTTGCCATGCTTGAGTCCATTGATGCTGCTGCTTGACCAGTCATTCTCATTGGGGTCTTCCTCTTTTTCTCTGACCCTCCACCTTACCAAACATGATATCCTTCTCCAGCGACTGTTCCCTCCTGACAATATGTCCAAAGTATGAGAGACGAAGTTGGGCCATCCTGGCCTCCAAGGAGCACTCTGGCTGCACTTCTTCTAACAGAGCTGGTTCTTTTGGCAGCCCATGGCACCTTCAGTATTCTCCTCCAACACCACAACTCAAATGTATCAATTCTTCCACGGTCATCCTTATTTATTGTCCAGCTTTCGCATGCATATGAGGTTATTGAAAATACCATGGTTTGGGTCAGGTACATCTTAGTCCTCAAGCTGACACCTTTGCTCTTCAACACTTTAAAAAATTCCCGTGCAGCAGATTTGCTTAATGCAGTACATTGTTTGATTTCTTGACTGCTGCTTCCATGAGAGTTGATAGTTGATTCAAGAAGAATGAAGGTCTTGACAACTTCATTCTTTTCTCTATTGATAAGAATCTTGTTTATTGGTCCAGTTGTGAGGATTTTGTTTTCTTGACATGAGATATGATCCATACCAAAGGCTGTACTCTTTGCTCTTCATCAGTTTTAAGTCCTTTTCACTTTCAGCAAGCTAGGTTGTATCATCTGCATATCGCAGATTGTTAATGAGTCTTCCTCCAGTCCTGAAGCCACGTTTTTCTTTACAGAATCCAGCTTCTGGGATGATTTGCTTATCATACAGGTTGAATAAGTATGGTGAAAAAATACAACCCTGTTGCACACCTTTCTTAATTTTAAACCATTCAGTGGTCCCATGTTCTGTTTGAACAACTACCTCTTGGTCCATGTACAGATTCCTCATGAGCACAATTAAGTGTTCTGGAATACTCACACTTCACAGTGTTGTCCATAGCTTGTCATAATCCACAGAATCGAAAGTCTTTGCATAGTCAATAAAGCACAGGTACACATCTTTCTGATATTCTCTAATTTCAGCCAAAATCCATCGGACATCACCAATGATAACCCTTGTTTCTCGGCTTCCTCTGAATCGAGCTTGAACCTCTGGAAGTTCTCTGTCAATGGATGCTTACAGCAATTTCTGTATTACCTTTAGTAAAACTTTACTCACATGGGATATCACAGAGATTGTCTGATGATTTCTGCATTCCTTTGGGTCCCCTCTCTTTGGAATTGGCACAAATATGGATCTCTTCCAATCAGTCGGCCAGATAGTCGTCTTCCAAGTTTCTTGGCATAGATGAGAGACCCAGGTGGCGGGTCCCTCCAATCTCAGACCCAGGACTGTGTTCCTATCATCAAACTCAATCTTGCCATGGCCAGGACCCCAATACTGCACTATGTGAATGTTTTTCTACCCAGAAAACTCTGTGGAGCTTGTTCTCATTTGTTTTATTTTTTTTCTCTCTCTCTCTTTCTTTTTTTTTTACACTGGGAATACTTTCACTTTATATTGGTCTTGTAATTAAGTGTCATTTTAGTTGGTTCCGAACCATAGCAACCCATTATATGGTTTCCGAGGGGTAGTTGGTGAGTTTGAACCACCGACCTTGTGGTTCAAAGCAACCTTGATACCTGCTGTACCACACCAGGGCTCCTTGTATTGGACTTTGGTGGTTCAAATACACTAACTGCTCTGTGGGAAAAAGATGAGACTGGTCCTATAAAGCTTCATGGTGTTGGAACCTTGTGTGGGATTCCCATGAATTAGAATCCAGCCCTGTTAGCGTAGTGGTTACGAATAGGGCTGTGAACTTCAAGGTCAGCAGTTCGAAACTACCTACTGTTCCACAGGAGAAAGAGGAGGCGTTCTGCTCTCGTAAAGATTTACAGCCTCGAAAACGCTGTACAGGGTCGCTATGGGTCAGAACCGACTCCACCACACAGCCGCTACCACCACATGGCAGTGGGGTCGTGATTGTTTTACTCTTATTGTCACTTCTCTTGACTGTTTGGAAAAGCGGGTCCTATTCTCACTTCTTCCCTCAATTAGCATTCTCTTCCATTACAAAAGTGACATACTCATTTGAAAAATAGTTGCATATTACAAAATGCCAAAATGTACAAACTTTTAAAATTATTGTCATAAATGAGAAATGTCAGAGAGCAAGAGAGTCAATAGTTGCAGTATTTATTGTTATTCTGTCGTGAGAAATTACCAATGCACACACATACACACATTTGCACATTTGTGGAAGTCTTTCTGAAAGATACATTTGTACAAGTGGAATTTCAATGTGACAAATACTAGTAAATTAGCATTCCAATAGTGGAAAGAATTCAAACTCTTAAGGAGAATACTTGATTGTTCATTTACCCACAGCCTCACTAACACTTTAAAGTACCTTTGCCAAATTGATTTTTGAAAAAGATACCCCAATTTATTTTGCACTTTTTTGTTTGTTTGGAAGCTGAAGAAGCTTATATATATATAAAAGCTTTAACACAGAGAGATTTATTTGTGCACAATTTAGGAACTTCAAAGTCCAAGTTCAGGGCATTGGCTCTAGGGGATAGATCTCTCAGTCTTTCCCTCATTTGTGCCTTCTTTCTTTCTTTCTTTGCTCTCATTATCTTTTTTTTAGTGTGTTTATTGTGAAAGGAGCTCTGGTAGCGTAGTGGTTACGAATCGGGCTGCGAACCTTAAGGTCAGCGGTTCGAAACTACCAGCCGCTCCGCGGGAGAAAGAT